TTCTGAATATGATCAGACTTTTCCTTTAAAATGATCCAACATTGATGTGAAAGACTCTAAACCACAGAGCATCTTCACTCCACAGTCTTCCAATGTTACTTCTCTCATACAGTATGTCAGCCTGAACACCAGTCTGCCCAGTAGAAAGTAAAATCCCAGTCAAGCCACAGCCTCATGAAAAAGAAAGAAGTCATTTTGAGGCTTTTCTTTCTTCCTGATGCTCCACAAAGGAGAGTTTCTTCTCAGTGACAGCAGGCTGAGGTTTGCTGGAGCTGAAGCCACTGGTGATATTTGTTATTTCATCCAAAGCAGTGACCATCAAATGATGCACAGTTTAAACCCAGCGTATCATGTGGGGAACATTGAGGCCCAGCCTGAGATAAGACCAGAGAGGAGAGAAAAGCTCTATATGTGTACACTGCCTAGCCAAAGCTGTACAAACAGTCTGGGCTTATCCTGGCCTGAGCAGTTTAATGCTGGCCCCTGGCAGGCCGGTTTGCATAAAAGCCATGGGAAAGGAACAGAGAGTGAAAACAGGAACGGGGAAAACAAAGAGGAGTTTTCTCAGCTGCAGCGCCTCAGTGGCTGCAGTTGGAAGTGACCAGAGATGCCCTGTTCATCCGTAAGATCGGACCGTGGAAACAGCGACGGTCAGGAGCAACGTCCCGCAGCGTAGCTAAGTGAAGCTCATGTTGCTATGGAAACGGTTTAAGGAGGGCTGGGCTTGCACAGGCGTGCAGAGACAGATTCACACTGAGCCTGATTTAACAGTACGGAGGACCAACTCTGACACAGACTGAGAAAAAAAAAGTAACCAAATTATAAAGCTGAATATGATAATTATATTTTAAAATCAAGCTATTGTAGAGGTGAATAAAAAGGCAAATTAAAATACATTTATTCCATGTTTAATCATTTCTTTGTTTAATTGTAGGCATTTTTATTTATTAAACATTTATTAATTTAAATATTTTCTATTATGTCACAGTTGGTCCTTCATACATCAAAGCTTAGGAGCATTAAAAGTGGCTTTCTAGGTCCAGTTAGAGATGCATGATCAGCCCCGTCCATTTAGAAACAGGTGTAGAAAAGATTAAATCAGTATATTAAAAAAAACACGTTCCAAGTTTGAAGACGTCCAGGAAAGCCCAACAAAGCCTTGTTTTTGTAAAAAAAAAAATCAAATGGAAACGGATGAACGGGTCCACCCCTTTGGAATGGGGGGCGTTTGGCTTCTTTTGTAATACCCTATACCTTTCTATTGAAACTGCATGTTTTCTAAACAAAAACAAGGCTTTATTGGGCTAATGTATAAAGCCTGGAACTCAACGCTATTTCTGATATTTTTAATTGAGAAAGCTTCCTGGATGGGAAGCAAAATATCCTCAAACTTGGAAACTTTTACTTTTTTGAATGACTATGACCTGGATGACTGAGAATCTTCACCAGCATATTAAATCAGGTTAAACATCCAATCTGCTACTTTTATAGAAGAAAAAACCTTTAATATGATTTATATCAAATGCTCCGATAACATTTCTTCTCACACTGCGTTGATCACGGGGAAAGTACCATACAGCACTATGCAATAGAATCCACAGTTTTTTTGTTTTTTTTCAAAATACAAGAATTAACTTTATTGTGAGTTCATTAGAAATAAAATGATGTGAAGTTTTAGAAACTGTGACTCCTCTGTAATCAGTCCCATGTAGCAAAGGTTGGTAGAACCGCTTTAACTGCAGTTACATCTGGAAGTCTTCCACAGGGGGAATGTGGGGTGAAACAAGCTGAAAATAGATTTAAAAAAATTGTAGCAAATACAAAAAGTAATGCAAAGACAAAGATGCTGCTAGCACCCAAAACACATAGAAATGCCATAAATGCTACAGTTACTGAAAGCAGATGTATCCCAGAATGCTTTGCAAGAGCTCTACTCACAAAGCATCATGGGATTTGTTGTGAAAGCGGCGACAAATAACGGCGGAGTCACATGACCAAGGCAGGGTTTTGTCGTACAGAGTGAGCTGTAGCTGCGCGTAACGATAGAAAAAATCGTTCAGTTTATGCCCGGCTTTAATGTTTTCAAATTACATTCAAAGGAAATGAACTTTTCTTCCTCCATAGGTCCCTTGAGTGGGAATCCAGTTTATATTTTTACAAACGCTCTGGTTATCAAACGCTTATCTCCAACTATATTTACTCACATGTTTTCATTTCCCATGTTTATAGATATTCAAGAAATGAAACGGCGTCCCGTTTGTATTTATTTCAAAAGCAACATTTGGTCCAAATCAAATTGTTGCCACTGATGTGTCTGTTTTCCAAAATTGCAGTAGAGAAATCTTTTGCTGTTAGGTTTCAAACATCTGTTCTAAGAAATGACCTCCTTAGAGTTTTATTTTGTTGTGATATAAAGTTGAAATATTAAATACTGACTTTAAATGTTTGACCTAACTTTGAATCGTCGCAGCAACAAAACAGCAAACTGAGCTGAAAGACTAGGTTAATGTCAGACGTCAGTGAAAAGATGAAATCAGGATCACTGTTGCCAAGGACACCAGTCATAGCTTGAAGTGACTTGAATGTGTTGGATCGTGCAGGCCTGCAGCCATGGCCGTCATTTCTCTGGCCTTTGGGCAGTACATCCTGGAGCCGCTCTTCATGCCCTGCAGTATCCCCCCCATGGCCGTCAAGCTGGCCACAGCCATCGGCATCAGTAAGTATGACATTTTATTCTTGCTTTATTACTCATTATCATGCCTTGGTGTGAAATCATTATCGATCATTGATGGTTTATCCTGGAAACAGCTTGTCTCTGATCGTTCTTTGCTGTCCTGCTGAGTCTTACCCAGAGCTACTGGCTCTCCTGCTGTGTCATGCATTTATTGTGTGGTTTCTCTAACAGAGGAGTCCATCCCTCCTCACTGCATACAAAAAGCTGCTCTGCTCTGGTCTAGGAGGAACCATTTTTTGTTTTAGGTTGATGTTGGATTTGAAATCTACTGATATATAGTAGGAGCCATTTAACATTTCCCTACTTTCCTTGATGGGTCCTTGGCTGGTCCTACAATTCCTTTTTAAACATCAATCTTTGTACTAAAATATTATTTCTGTCGTGATTTGTGGACATTAAGATCTAAAGAGAAGCATTCTTTCGTGGTTAGACCCTCTAACTCAGTGAAAGGGTGGAGTCAGAGTAAATAACTGTGCAAGAGTGGGTCACTCCAGTTGCTGGGAGTT